CATGCCGCGCTGCTCCACCCCGGTGCGGGATCTAGCTTCGCCTACAGGAAGCCTTGAAGGGAGCTCTCCAGAAAAGGGGGAGATCCATTCCCCGACCAGTGGTCCATCCCAGGTGCCGGCGACCCCGTCCCCCCCTTCGCCGCGCGGTCTGAGGAGCCCTCCCCGCTCCCCTCGCAGATCTGGCGCCTGCGACCCCGAGGCTGGCTTCGGACCGGAGGACGGGGACGCGCCACCCCCGCCCGAGCGCCCCCGTCTCAAGTCCATTGTGGCACGTGATTCCTCCTTGCCATTTCTGGCCAGCGACGATATTGAAGAGGGCTGGACGCTCCATCAATCCCGCAAAAACAGGAGGGCCAGTAGAGATCCGATGGGCTCCAGCCAGCTCCAGAGCCACCGACGTCGACGCTCCATCCCCGACCGGCTCTCCTCTAAGGGCAGGGAGGCCTTTTTAAGTAGATTCAAAGGCCTCTGCTTCCGTTGTCTTAGTTCTGGACATCATAGAATCGACTGCCACGACCCACTGCGCTGCATTATCTGCAAACTCCAAGGCCACTACGGCCGTGACTGCCCTGCAAATCCCCGCAACAAGGCTGCGCGCAAGCAGGGCGTGCGTCCGTGCACCCAGCACCGGCCGGTCCGCGAGCGCCTGATCTTCCCGCCGTCCCCGACCCTGCGGCCGGCCTGTCCGGTCAACGAGCGCCTCGCCATGGAGCCTGCACCCCTTATCGACCACAATCACCGCCCCCGCAACAGCCACAAGGTCATCGCGTCCTCGCCAGCCATCGAGCACCAGACGTTCCTGCTCCTCCAGCATGCCGTGGTCGTCACGGCGGTGGGCACCACGGCGCATGCCGCCAGTCCGCTGTCCATCGGCCGCGCGCTCGAGAAGGAGTTCAAGATCCCACCACACCTTCTGCGCGTCACCAACCACGACCCCAAGGACTTCTTCATCTTCTTCACCATGCCGGCGCACAAGGATCTCGCTGTGCGGCAGGGCTCGCTGTCGGTGGATGGCGTGCCCTTCCTGCTGGAGCCCTGGCGTGAGGACGCGCATGCTGTCTGCCTCAAGTGGATGATGCATGTGCGTGTGGTCATCGAGAAGCTCCCCATGAAACTCTAGACGCTCGAGGGGGCGGGGAAGCCATTGGTGACAAGGTGATCATCGACCGCTTGGACAGCCGGACGCACGAGCGTGTCGACACCAAGCTCTTCGCATGTTGGGTCTGGTGCTGGGACACTGCCCATATCCCCACCAGACGCACCATTTGGAAGCACGCCAGGGGGCGGGCCGCATCGACGAGATGCTGGGCCACTCCCCTCCGAGTCGCGCGGTGGCTCCTCCGCCTGAGCTACTGCAGTTTGACTTGCTCCTTCATCTGGACCGTATCGAGGACTGGATGCTGCTCTCGCCGCGATCCTCGCGCTCCCCGCAGAGTGGCATCCCCTTGGAAGACGACGAGCCCGACGAGCGCCCATACCCCCGAACCGAGCCGGGCGTGTGGACTGTGCGGGTGGAGGACGGCAGGCCGGCGATTGCGCATGCGCCTACCATGTGCCCGCAGCCCTACGTGGCCTCCACGGGCTGCCGGGGCATGCCCTCTAGCGGTGGGGGGCGCGACCGCGACCGCGACGACCAAAGATACCAGCAACGCACCTGGAAGGACACCCTCCTCGGCCTGGGACGGGCAAATGCTCCCCCCACCCCCCACCCCCGGCCAAGGAACGGTAGCGCAGCCGGACCCCGATCTCCCGCCATCGGCAAGGTGCGCCACGCGGAAGACACATGTGCAATGACAAAACTCTGCCCCACGCCCCTGGCAAGAGCAAGGAACCGGCAACGCGCGTGGCTTCGACGCGCCCATCAAAGCCAAAGGAAAAGGAGACCGCGCCAAGCAGGCGACTCCACGACGGTGAAGCTGTTGGGGAACGTAGTAATTTCAAAAAAATTCCTACGCACACGCAAGATCATGGTGATGCATAGCAACGAGGGGAGAGCGTGATCTACGTACCCTTGTAGACCAACAGCGGAAGCGTTAGCACAACGTGGTTGATGTAGTCGTATGTCTTCACGGCCCGACCGATCAAGCACCGAAACTACGGCACCTCCGAGTTCTAGCACACGTTCAGCTCGATGACGATCCCCGGACTCCGATCCAGCAAAGTGTCGGGGAAGAGTTCCGTCAGCACGACGGCATGGTGACGATCGTGATGTACTACCGTCGCAGGGCTTCGCCTAAGCACCGCTACAATATTATCGAGGATTATGGTGGAAGGGGGCACCGCACACGGCTAAGAATATGATCACGTGGATCAACTTGTGTGTGTAGGGGTGCCCCTGCCCCCGTATATAAAGGAGCAAGGGGAGGTGCGGCCGGCCAGGAGGAGGGCGCGCCAGGAGGAGTCCTACTCCCACCGGGAGTAGGATTCCCCTCCTTTCCTAGTTGGAATAGGATTCGGGAGGGGGGAAAGAGGAGAGAGAGAAGAAAGGGGGGGCGCCGCCCCCCTCTCCTTGTCCTATTCGGACTAGGGGGAGGGATGCGTGGCCCAGCCCTGGCCACCTCTCCTCTCTTCCACTAAAGCCCACTAAGGCCCATATACCTCCCGGGGGGTTCCGGTAACCTCCCGGTAATCCGGTAAAATCCCGATTTCACCCGGAACACTTCTGATATCCAAATATAGGCTTCCAATATATCAATATTTATGTCTCGACCATTTCGAGACTCCTCGTCATGTCCGTGATTACATCCGGGACTCCGAACTAACTTCGGTACATCAAAACTCATAAACTCATAATATAACTGTCATCGAAACCTTAAGCTGCGGACCCTACGGGTTCGAGAACAATGTAGACATGACCGAGACACTTCTCTGGTCAATAACCAATAGCGGAACCTGGATGCTCACATTGGCTCCTACATATTCTACGAAGATCTTTATCGGTCAGACCGCATAACAACATACGTTGTTCCCTTTGTCATCGGTATGTTACTTGCCTGAGATTCGATCGTCGGTATCTCAATACCTAGTTCAATCACGTTACCGGCAAGTCTCTTTACTCGTTTCGTAATACATCATCTCGCAACTAACTCATTAGTTGTAATGCTTGCAAGGCTTATGTGATGTGCATTACCGAGAGGGCCCAGAGATACCTCTTCGACAATCGGAGTGACAAATCCTAATCTCGAAATACGCCAACCCAACATTTACCTTTGGAGACACCTGTAGAGCTCCTTTATAATCACCCAGTTACATTGTGACGTTTGGTAGCACACAAAGTGTTCCTCTGGTAAACGGGAGTTGCATAATCTCATAGTCATAGGAACATGTATAAGTCATGAAGAAAGCAATAGCAACATACTAAACGATCGGGTGCTAAGCTAATGGAATGGGTCATGTCAATCACATCATTCTCCTAATGATGTGATCCCATTAATCAAATGACAACACATGTCTATGGTTAGGAAACATAACCATCTTCGATCAACGAGCTAGTCAAGTAGAGGCATACTAGTGACGTTTGGTTTGTCTATGTATTCACACAAGTATTATGTTTCCGGATAATACAATTCTAGCATGAATAATAAACATTTATCATGATGTAAGGAAATAAAATAATAACATTATTATTGCCTCTAGGGCATATTTCCTTCAGTCTCCCACTTGCACTAGAGTCAATAATCTAGATTACACAGTAATGATTCTAATACCCATGGAGCTTCGGTGCTGATCATGTTTTGCTCGTGGAAGAGGCTTAGTCAGCGGGTCTGCTATATTCAGATCCGTATGTATCTTGCAAATCTCTATGTCTCCCACTTGGACTAGATCCCGGATGGAATTGAAGCATCTCTTGATGTGCTTGGTTCTCTTGTGAAATCTGGATTCCTTTGCCAAGGCAATTGCACCAGTATTGTCACAAAAGATTTTCATTGGACCAGACGCACTAGGTATGACACCTAGATCGGATATGAACTCCTTCATCCAGACTCCTTCGTTTGCTGCT